ACCACTACCACTACCACTACCACTACCACTACCACTACCACTACCACGACCACCACCACGACCACCACCACGACCACCACCACGACCACCACCACGACCACCACCACGACCACCACCATGACCACCACGACCACCACGACCACCACAACCACCACCACCGCCACCACCGCCACCACCGCCACCACCGCCACCACCACGACCACCACGACCACCACGACCACCATCACGACCACTACCACCACCGCCACCACGACCATCACGACCACGACCACTACCTCTACCACACTACTACCACCACCAGCGGTGCAAGGAGGCGGAAGGGTGAGCGCAAGGGGTCCCAACAGCAGACCACGATATCATATTTTTGAACAACCCCATACATCGCAAACCCTGATCAAAAGCGATCAGAGGAAGAACCCGATAGCACTGTTTTTGTGTCTGTATAGTTTGCTTTGCAACTCCATACGCTCTTCCGCCCAAGACCCAACCCACAAACACACACTTAAGATTCTGCGTACTGACTCTAATGCCGCTCGCGACACGGCAATCTAAGGAACCAGATTCCTGATCAACCAGGTAAGGAGGCCTGAGAGCTTTTAGTGAAAGGCCAAAAGTTCAACTCCACGAAACGACGAACAGGTCGAGATGACGACGTGCGCTCTTGTCTGCCGCGTGCACTAGCCCTTTAAAGGAAATGAGAGTCACAGCTTGAGAACATCACAAACATTGCAGGTATGTCAGAGTGGCCACCTCTGATTTCACCAGATCAAATGGGCGTCTTCGCTGGTAGCGGTCCCGAGTGATCTGCCGCTACCCCCTGCTGAAAACAGAACACTCCAAAAGAAACCTTGTGACTCCAAAGGTTACACACACACACACCATTCCTGTGCGCTAACGCAGGCTTACTTTCAATCTCCTTCTTACTTTCAATCTCCTTTCCTACACACCAGCTCAATTTTAAAAAACAAAGGAACAAGGCAAGATCTCAAACAACAAAGCGTTGGACAACGTTGTTGTTTGCATCAGAACAGCGAGGTGGGACGTGGACAGAGATGGGATGCTACAGCGGCTGAGACGAGAATGGTGGCAGCGGAACCCTGGGTTTTGGGTTTGATTGATACTTGCAAGTTCCAGGCACGACCAGCAGACAGTCAGCAAGGGGATCCTGAAAACAACCAATGAAGCAGGATACAAAGAACACACACACAGAGCAATGAACCGACTTGCTAGCCATTCAGGGATGTCCTGAAGAATTAGCCAAGATGGTCCATTTGTTGGACAGCTAGCAACCTCTAAATTTTTGACCTTGGTGCAAGACCCAGCAATGCAATGCAACCAGTGGACACCATCAAACCCACGCTGGTTCAGTTTTCCTTTGTCACATATTCAACCAATAATCACCAATATGGCAACATGTAAAGATCTGGCCAGTGCCAATTCTGGTCCTCCCAAAGCATTCATACCTGAAGGCGGCCCCTTTACAGCCGCAGCCGGACGTCCACTTCCGCCTCTCCTCTCCTTCCGCGCGGTCAGGAGACCTTCCTCCAGTCGTGCCACTCGGAGGAGGAGCTGCGGCGCTGGCGGGACGAGCGGAAGAGGTGCGCAGAGAGGATCTGGTGGCACGCGGTGGATGTGGCTCTGGTGAAGGTGAGAGCTGAGGTTACATAAGATCCGTGGCATGAATTGCTGGAGATTGTTTCTGGATGAGTCGAAGTCAAAGAAGCTGAAACTTCTTATATGTGTCAATCCTCAATGCTTTGTCTCATATATGTTCTCTCATCCGCTCCGCTTTAGAGCTTCAGTGGGTTTCAGAGCAACCTTGAGGTTGCTCCGACCCCCCTTGTGGAGCTCAACAAATTTTGCCGGCCAATGCTGGGCCCATTCTCAGCCAACGAGTGTACAGTGTACAGCTAGGGCTAGTGCAGGCCTGACAAAACTGTGCGCAGTTGGGGTTCAATGTCCTGGCCCCTGGCAGTTGTTTTGTTTCCATTCGTTTCGTTCGTTAAAACCTGCTGGGATTGGCTTCATTCTGATGCACAAGCTTTGAATCAATATGCCCAGACACTCCCTGGACCGTCCAGAGTAGGGGATGGACCTCCTCTCTTTGCGTCTGCCTTCACCCTGTGCCTCCCTTCAGGTCGATCGACGTCGGGTCCGGATCTTTCGGAGTCTGCCCAGGTCTTTGGCGACGTTCGCTTGCAAATGTTGGGCGCGCAGTTTGGACGCTCAGAGGTCGAAAGCGGCAGTGAGACAGGCGACTGCGAGCTGAGCCTGACTGCGGAATGGGCACCCTCTGACATAGAACACCCCTTGCCATGCACAGAGAGAAGGACAGGAGAACCTCACAGATGCAAAACCAATTGAATGCTCTTAAAGGGTACCTTCAGTATAGGACGGCTCCCTCCAATGTTTTCAAACGTGGTGGGTCTGGCTTGTTGTGCTGTCAAGGCATCGTGAAAAGGCCCTGCTGAGGGCGATGCTGCAGCTGGGAGCGCTCCTGCCAAAGGAGACCGGCTGTCGAGAGGGAAGTACCCAGAGTAGTTGTTACATGCCCAATAGCACAATGTATGAACCAGTAACTCGTTTGACTGTCTTGGGTCTCGTTGTTTCCCGCTTACGGCTGTACGCCGAACCCGGTTTGATCGCCGCTTTTCGCCGGTCGTTCGAACCCTGAAACCTGTGATCGCTCCAGGTTGTGAGCCCGGAGCTCACCCGAACCTTCCGAACCCCGTGAAACTGCAAGCATTCACCTCCACACCCTATATATTCCAGTGTGACGCATAGACATACTCTGACGATATCTCTGACGTACGTACTCCTTTGTCTCTTCCATGCTTTGCTTCCGCACCAAATAAACCATTTTTTGCGGTCTGCAGGATCAGAAACGTGTGGGATGCGTGGAGTTATCCTACAGACCGTAAAAGTATGCGTAGTGAGTTTTCTCATCCAACATGTTTTCTGGGTCTATGGCGTGGTAATCAACAAAATGAGTTGTAAGGGATGAACCCCCTTTTCTCCCACAAAAACCAGATTTCACGCCATGAAGACAGCCCTGACATTCTGAAGATCTTGGAAGGGTTCCATAAGCAAGTTGCCAAGCTTTTTGTTCAAGAAACAATGGACGAGTCACACATTTACGAGAATGATCTCTGCCGAAGCCTAATGCGGAGGTGATCTTGAGCACCCCGACCCCCCCCCTTTAGCCTTTGGTGTGGCACAGCTCGAGGTGCAAAGGGCTTAGAACTCAGACCACGGGTGATGCCAATGCTGGCAGGAGAAAAAGCTGCAAGGCCGACTTCAAGTGCTGGAGATTGGAGTGCTTTTGGATCGGGTCACTGCAGGGTGCCCTTTTTCTGAAAGCCTTAAGCTTGCACCACATCACACAGAAGATGGATGTGATGTTATATCCAGGGTACACCCAAACAGGGACAGGCCAGCTGCTGGGAGTAAGCGTGCATTTCACCATGAGTCTCGCGGGAAAACTGCAGGGCATGGAGGTGGTAGGATTTCATGAACCAAGGCGCAGGGCCCCGCCTCCAAAGCTAAGAGCTGTTCAGAGGAGGTGCGGGCTGACAGATTGATTGGTCAGGAGTTCTCAAAGGATGATTCCAGTTGAGGGACAAGGGATGTCTTGGGGGAGTACTTCCTGAATTCTTTGGAGACAGACATTTGGTGATCTCGTGACGTTGTCATGAATGCATTCTTGAGAGCATTTCATTCGTGGTGGACGACTCGTGGTGTTCAAGCGTTGAAGGCTAAAGCGTTGTTGGAACGCTTCGATGAGATCTGTGAGCACAAAGATCATCGCTGGAAGGATTGCATCCTCTGACTCCGGAGGCATTTGTTGGTTGATTGGTTGGTTGATGAATAGAGGGGATACCTCCAAGCGAACAAACCAATAGGCATGTGGTACACTACCTGGCATCGACCCCGCTATGATTCCCAAAAGCCATGCGTGGGAGCTAGAGCCAAGATTCGTGAAATTGCTTCGCTTGGCCTGGGGATTGTCGGAGATTTATGATCAGTTTTCAGGGACCGGCTGTGGGCTTGGTTTCAAACAATCCCTCCGAAGACCTTCGGGAAAAGTAGAAAAGTACTGGTATTGCAGGCACTGTCATGTTCGGACGAATGGTCAGTAAAACTCCAAACCCTGTCACTCTGGTGGACCCTGGTCCCAGCATGTCCCAGCTCATCCCTCCTCCAGAAAAGGAATGTCTTTCCTTTTTCCGAAGGAATGCAGAGGAAACGTCGATGTGAGCCATTTTCTCACGAAAAGCAGCCACCGGGGCCCAACGTTGGCCCTTCCAAACTCGCTCCACGGAAACGAGCTGAACTGCCGAGCCCGAGCTGCAGCCACCGGGCGGAACGTGGGAACTGCATCGTCTCACATCGTACTCCGACTTTGTGTAGACTCGTTGATGTATCAAATCCCCTTCAGGTTGCATTGTATTTTACATATTTGTTCTGGGTTCGGGAGTTTTTCAGACTGGTTGGAAGTGGGTTGGTTCCATATTTTCGGCTTCACTTGCAGCTTTGGGGCGTTGGTCAATCTTGTACGCCTGATCTATCTAAACATGTCGAATCGAGGTGAGGACTAAGTCGCGAAACAGACAAGCCCGGGCCCGATCCCATGATTTTAATATCCCTGCTGGCGCTGGCTCAAGCGAACTGCTGTGAACCGTGGTTCCTGTCACTGCAACCGCTGGGCGAAGGCACCGGTCGAGTCTGTTGCGGGGGCATGTCTCAGAAGCGTCCCTACAGACCTCGCAACAGGGAAACTGTACGAGAGGTTGCGCTATGGAGTTTATCATGGCAAAAGGCAAAGCACGTGAATGACATATACACCTACCTGACCAGACAATAGGAAAACATTGATTGTTGATGATAGACAACTTTCCTTCAGTATGACTTGCATTGAGATAGATCATCGACAGTGCTCAGAGGATGAACAAAAGATCCGAGAGAGCCTGTCACGTGCATCGGCCCATCCAGATTGCTAAGCATGTCTTCAGCCACGTGCCTTTGCCTTTACTTGTTATTTTATATCTTTATATACACAGTATATGTTCATAACGTATATATATATATATAAATATAGTATCTATGGAGAGCGCCACATCTCCGATTTTCTGCACGTCTGAGATCTCCCCACCTGACCGATCGCAGCAGCCGAGTTTGGAGCTCCTGTGTGGCTCAAACGGTTTCGGCGTCCGTTGGACCCTCCAGAGATCGATCAAAGGCGGCTCGGTTTCGGAGGTCGGCCAGAGGTCGGGGACGGCAGCTTGGAAGTTGGAGGGCACAGAGGTCGGGCCACAGGTCTGTCTTTGTCTTAACGAACTTTTCTATTTCTAGCAACTAGAAGCTACTAGGTGGAGGCCATCGCTACTAGTAGCAATAAAGCTTTCATTCAGTAAAGAATCTTAAAGATAGACTGTTGGATTCATTTGGTGACATGACACAGGACCAGTGCCCTTCATTGTACTCTGCACGACCTGGTAAGTTGAAGGTTCGGACCCACATCTTTCTGGTCCGGTGGGTCGTAGCATAATTGTTGGTGGAGGGTCCAAGAATGTTGCGATGTTGGGTCCGAAGCTTGTGGTCAGCTATTCATGGATAATGTGACTCCCTCTCTTCAACTCTTCTTTTGTGGAACTTCCAAGGGTTTTCTCTCGATGACAGTGGCTAATCCGTCCTGTCCGAGTGCGAGTCCGTGACCAGGCCATGTCATTTTGGGGCTGCATTGTGGCTCCAGGCCAGTCAAAGCAGGCTGGATGGTAGGTCCTGGAAGAATGCCGAACAGTTTGGGGCCGAACAGCTGGAATCAATCAACATCTTCGGCAAAACTTGTAGGGAATTGGACAAATTTTGGGAGATTAGCAGCCAGATAGCAGACCTCTTGGCGGGTTGACACTCGTTGCGTTTTGCATGCTTTAGAATCTCTGAAGCACATGGCACGTGCCCAGGTGGAAACACGGGCTGGCGAGCTACTGCACCTGTCGCAGGCCGGAGATCGGTTGAAGCCAAGTATGGACCCAGAGTATTTCTCAGACCTCTTGGAGTGCAGACTTCAACAGATGCCCTTTGCTCCGTTCGTAGCGTCCTTGTTACTACTAGTAAGGCACTTGTTACTAATAGCTTCTTGTTACTACTAGTAAGGCACTTGTTACTAGAAGCGATGCACTTGTTCCTAGTAGCGAACATGGCTTCTCAGAGTATTTCTCAGACCTCTTGGAGTGCAGACTTCAACCCTTTTTGACTCTTTTTTGGAGTGCAGACCTCTTTCTTTTCGGAGCTTTCTTATTAAGAGACCGCTTTCTTTATAGACATCATCTCTCGGATCTTGGTGCTGATTTTGGATCAAACACGCCCCCGTAATTGGTGGTCTTGTGCCGTGCTTTTGTCCTGCCAAAAAGATGCTCTTTCATACACATAGTCGGATTTTGGGACCGTTTTGGTTACCAATTGTTTTTGCTTTGGACGTGTTTACATCACGCTTGCACCACTAGTCGTCCGACCGTGCGAAACGACCACCTCGACATACTCCGACCGAGGCGTGTTTGGCGCCGGAGACCCCAAGCGGTGCCTCCTCCAAAGTGCTGGTGGAGCAGGGTGGTTGGGGCCCCCGGTCACCAGTCCAGCTGTTCAAGAGAGTAAATGGTCCAAACTCCAACCAGCCGCACCTTGGCCAAGGGAACCACCGGAGACTTTGTTGATCAAGGCAGATGATCCAGGGACCGCAGGGACCGCAGGGACCGCTGAGAAAGAGCGATCTGTGATGCTGATGCCATGAGAGACAAGCCTTTGGCCTGCAAGCTGAGAATGGGATTCCTATCATCCTGTGTCGCAGATGACTTAGCAGACGGGTGTGGGTCAAAGATTCCCGGTGAAGTCATTCGGTGAAGTCATTCCTCGGTGAGCTTTCAGGGCAACTCTTGACCCACAGCCGGAAGTTTGGTGCAGCCTTTAGTGGAAGCTATCCTATGCTGATATACAGATATAATATATATATATATTATACACATGTGTTTATTTATCAGGTGTATTGTATTTTTTCAATGTTCAAGTTTATTTATATAACATGTTTTGTTGCAGGCACTCATCCTTTGGTATGGCTACCACTTCTGTGTATTTTGGCAGCGTCTGTGGCTCTTGGCAGCTTGATCGGTCAAGGACGCGCAGCGTTCATTCATGATTTGCCAGTGGAATGCCTCGGCGTGACTTTAGGCATTAAGTTTCGTCGCATTCCGAGATTTGCTGAGGTATTGGAGATTGGTGCAGCATTTGTGCTCTTGTCCCTGGGATAGTGGCCATGGCTGTAGCTGCTGGTTTGACTTGCACTTGGCTGATGGGTCATCCGTGTTGCCACGACACCCGGAAAGCCTCCTACTTCATTGACACCTTGGCCCTCCCTTGTGGTGGTCAAGTGCTCATGTCCCATGCACCTGGCAGCCGTCGAACCTGGCAGCCCAATCTGGTGGAGGATCTCGGGGCGGTTCAACGTTTGAAGGCCACCTGTGTGGTGACTCTGCTGGCCTCTGAAGAGCTCGAGACACTTGGGCTCCAAGAGCTTGGAGTAGCAGTGGAGGCTGCAGGCGCGGTCTGCCAACGAAGACGCTGACGAGCTTTTGGAAGCTTCCTTGCCTCGTGGTGCTTGCCCCAAGTTCAGGGGCAACCCGTGCGTCCTATTGGGTCCTCCATTGGGTGCTTTCAAGAGTGAATCCTAAGAGTTAATCCAAAGAAACCTCATCATTTTTTCTCAAGAGCAAAAGCAGGGGGTCTCAGCTCATAGGCTTTCGTGGCTCATGCTCCTTGTATCGATTTATCTGTAGTTACTCTCCAGGAAAGACTCGAACTGGGAGCGGTGATTAAAGGAAGTTTAAACCCGAACCAAGCAACGTGAATCAGTGAATCGTTTGGTTGCATTTTCTAGAGAAAACTGGGGTGTTCGGTTCGGCCTTTCTCATTTTGAGACAACCCAGAGTTGAAAAGCAAGCTCTCTCACCTCTCATCGGTATGAAAGGTGGAGAGCGTTTTTGTTGCAGACGAGCATCATTTTCAGTGGTTTTCTGGCAATCGCATGTTACCCCCGCCTTAACAGACAGCCTCTCCTCTCTTGCAGGTATGGACTGGCACTATTGCGAGCTTCGCGACAAGTGGATTCCTTGGAACTCTGAGGTTTATTTGAAGGAGATGGTGCTGCCTTTGGTTCAACGTTTGCAAAACAAAGAAACCATTCTGGTACATTGCAGCGGAGGCAAGGGACGGACTGGCACTCTTGTGGGAGCCTTGCTCATGACTTCTGCCGGTGGCCACCTCTCCTTGCCTGCTGCGATTTCGGCCATGCGAGCAGCTCGACCCGGCATGCTGAAGAATCCCTTGCAGCAGCTCTTCCTTCTGCATTTGCAAAGCTCTTTGGCCACAATGTGATGAAGCAGCTTTCAATGCGATGAAGCAGATTGGATTCACTCGATCTGAGAGCGAACTGTGACTTCCGACCAGCACAATTCCCCGAGAAGCACCAGGAACGCACATGAGGAGAATTTGAAGGCACGACCTGTAGATGGTGCTCCCAGATTTCGTTCGACCGACAGAGCGGTCAAAAGGTCCAGGATGTCCACGAGCTCTTCGTTTGCGCGCGGATTTGCGGATAATGTGTTCATCCTTGTTCAACAAGAAGACTACTGTAATAATATAAAGTGCCCATACTGGTGGATTTTGCTGGCTCATAGTGTAGTTTGGTTTGAAGGGGGGATGATCACCTCCAGCCGTGACCCGTGAATTGTTTGGTCCAAGATAGTTCAGCCTTTCTTTGGATGCTCAGGTCCACAGATTCATCGCATCTCACCACTTCTGCAGGTTTTGATAACTATTTACAGTGTTCGCTACTAGGAACAAGTGCATCGCTACTAGGAGCAAGGGGCCTTACTAGTAGTAACAAGAAGCTACTAGACATCACATCTCGGAATTGGACTCTGAGACCTGTCCACGTCGACGTCCGGGCTTGGATGGGCCGGGCTTGGCCGATGGGCTGGGGGGACGATCTCGATCTCGTTGGCTCATTGAGGTCAGACCTACGCCGTAGCCTGCCTCAAAGAAGGTTCTCAGGACTGAGGGGGGGAGTGGTTGGCTGGACAGCTGCGCCACTGGTGGTCCACCTGTCACTGGCTACTGGTGGCAACTACCAATGAAAAAGATACTGTTCAAGGAAGAATGTTTGCACCGTTGTAGGGGAATTCTCAAAGCACGGGATATTCCATAATCTTCCCTCAGTCGGACTGTGCCAAAGCTTGATCGCATGGGAGGAGTTTTGTGCTCTGGACCTCTTCCTGGATACAAAAGATGCCAAGCTAGCGGTGAAGGGAAAGGCTGGGTGCAGAAGTAACAGTGCGACTCGTACTTAAACTTAAGCACTTTTGTCCGAAAACCTTGGGAATGATCCAGTCCTTTGGTCAGCCAGAAGACATCTTAAGTCGACCCATCTTTGGGTCCCTGCAGGCCACGGTCCACCTCACTGGCTACTTTGAAGCCGATGAGCCTGAGGCGATCGGGTACCGGGTGATTCCATTGGTGCGTTGCTATGCTTTGCGGTCTCACCAACATTCCAGTCCTTCCGTGAAGTTTGATGGGCCAAAGCACGTTATTACCACAAGTCCTTCTCCACTGCATGGCCTCCGGCATGCTCTTCGCAAAGATCAGACTCCAAGGCATACTTCTGTGTTCCTGCGTTTGATGATTGCACAGAATTGGAGACCCTGGCAGCCAGAGCCAGCAGGGATCCACCACTCAGTGAACGAAAAATTCCCACGCCGCGCCCACGTGATGACATGGCGCGACGTCAAATCATCGCCATGGCGCCACGGGAAAACACGCGTCGCTCGTTCATAGCGGCCAGCGTGTGTTTCAAAGGGAGGGGGGAGAATATGATTCTTTCTAAACGCGTGGAGTACGTTACAACTGACAGAGTGTTTTTCCACAACGAACCTATTCGGATGGGTGAAGACACGGTCAATGCTTGAAGACCAGGATGATGACGCGCTGCCACCACCTCGGGTCTGGGCCTCAGCGTGCGCAAGTGGGCACCATGATATTGTATACAAGTTGAGATATATTATATATATATACACAAGGCTGTATCCAAGGTTGTTCTAGAACACAACCTTACAGGATGAACATCGACAGCGAATCTAGGTTGCTCCGACTTCATAGGTCTCCCCAAAATGTCTGTGAGTTCACCTCTTCTCTCACTTTCATCGGGTCTTTTTCCATGCCTCCAAAGGCACCGGAGTCCCTGAGGCGGCCTCGCCCAAAGCGGCCCCAGCGGCAGCGAAGGCCTCGCCGAAGGCCTCGCCCAAGGCGGAGGCGAAGGCCTCGCCCAAGGCGCTGGTCGATCGGCGGTGGCCGGTCGACGTGAACGGAAGCCGAACTCGGAGTGGTGGCCTCTGAAAGGGGATGTTGTTTCAGTTGGATTCAATGAAGGGCCGAGGCGCTCTCAGGTTCTGGAAAGGAAAGGGGATTGGGGGTTAGATGTCCATGGAGGAAGGCTTAGATTTGATAGAGCTGGTTCCGCATCCTTCAAGTCATTTCTGTCGTGAAACATCCCATTTTCACACACATTCGTAACAATCGTACATCCTCAAGTTGATAACATGTTTGATTATGTCAAGCACATTGCAATCTCCCACAACCCTCCGCAGCAGCGCAAGGCCTCCCCTAAACCAGAAGCCAAGCCAAAGCCTTCTGCCGAGGAGTTACAAACGCAGTTTGAATTGAGGCAGATTGAAAGCAACCTTGACAACATGTTGCATCGTGTTCGTAAGATGTGCGCTATTCGAATCAATTACCCAAAGACACTCAAGGACATTCAGAATGTCTTTCAGTGTTTTTGAGTGGCTAGTGGCTGGTCTACGGTTTGCACATCAGTGTCCCTTGGAGTGTCCTGGAGTGTCCTTGAGTGACCGACATGGCCGACATGAGACAACCAAGCTTTTCACAAGCCAAAGGAGATTTTGACCTGCAATTTGAGCAGAGTTTTTTTTCCCCAAACAGCGAAGCTTTAGGGGTCTTCAGCCATAGTATAGACTCTGGAACAGATCGGAGCAAGCTCAGGAGCAGGTTCCGGAGCACGTTCCGGAACAGGTTCCAGAGCAGGTTCTGAGAGTTCCAGAGCAGGTTCCGGAGCAGGTTCCAGAGGAGGTTCCGCAGCAGGTTATGGAGCAGGTTCTAGAGGAGCTTCTGGAGGAGGTTCTGGAGCAGGTTCCGGACCCGGAGCAGGTTTTGGAGGAGGTTCCGGAACCACTTCCGGAGCAGCCTTGCAGATATATGACGGCGTATAGTGCTCACAGGTCACGATGCAGGCCTTTTGTAATGTTTGCTGATCAGACTACCGTGCGGCTTTTGCAAACCTGCTATCATGCTATTATCTCTGACACGCTGAGGTTTTGCCACTCCGACAAGCTGACGACATGGTGCCATGTTGGTGTTGTGCGTGTAGAATGCTGTCACACAGACGTGTGTAGACACGTTGTCGCGCATGACTGTCATTGTCACTGCCGGCGTGGTGTTTGTCAGGCTAATGCGACGAGATGCGAAAATGGGATCATGCTTGACAGCAGTAGTGTCACACGCCACTTGTTAAGAAGCTAGCCCAGTTCTGCAAACTTATCAACAGATGCCAAATGCTGCCATTACTAAATCAGCAAATTCATGCTCAGCTGTTTGGGAGTTATCGTGGACTTATCAGTCTATTAGAAATTGCCTTGGCCATGTTTACCGGCAAGAAGCATTTTCCCAAAATGATTTTCATTATTTAAATTTGCAGTGGCCATGCTGACTGGCAAAAATCTCCTGAGCCGACAAAATTTTGTGGACGCTTTCTCACAGGTTTGCGAGACACCAGGCTCCCTTGCCCCCAGCGTGTGTTCTTCTGAAGTTGCAAAGAAATTTGGTCAACGATCCGTACTTCTCAGAACTGTGTCCACTCTAGGCCTGAGACAGGGCGCTAGCCCCCTAAATCCGGCGATGCCGTGCCGTTGTGTATGGCTAGCTTGTTAGCCCAGGTGCGTCCCCTGGCGCTGACCCTGTGCTTTGCAGTGTTTTTTGCTCTTGAGCGACGGAAAGGGGTAAAAAATCGATCAAAAATCATGGATCTGGAAGGAAACACATTTTGAGCCCTTTGGGGACGGCTTTGGGCTGTTTGTTCGGCACGCGCCAACGCGCAAAACCCTGTAAATTATAGTGTTTTTGGAATTTCCGCTTCAATAAGCGATGTGTTAAAACTTCGTAAATACCGACGTTTTTGAAGAGCGTGTGTGCAAACACTGTAAACATCGTGCTTTTTAGCAATAAGGTCAAACACACTCACAAATACTGCGTTTTTGAGGACCTGATAGCTGAACACCATCGGTATTTACAGGGTTTGCTGCCGCCCAAGTGCAACAAAATCGTAAATACCGCATTTCTGAGGTTATTTTCTCTGCCCAGAAGAGCGGCCTATTTCCGGTGAATAAGCGCACGCGCGCAGTGTCTGTGTTAAGAATGGCTTGTAGTCTGTGCCAGCTGGTATCGCGGTGTGCGAAGCCTGTCAATACATGGACCAATGCGGATACGCATACAAAAAATCCAGCAGAACTTTCGCACACCATCCCTGCGAAGTCTTTGCGTCGAAAATGTTCGGGCATGCCCTGGATAAGGGCCTGTGGTGGACTCATGTCTAACAGTGTAACACTCTTGCAGTGACAGCTGCTGCTCTTGTTGCTTTTGCTGCTGCTTCTGCTATTGCTGCTGCTCTTGCTCATACTACTGCCCTTCCTGCTGATCTTACGGTCTTACTGTTCTTGCCATTCCTGCTGCCGTTGCTGATGCTATTGCTGCTGCTGCTGCTGCCCTTCTTGTATCAAATCCCTTCTCCTTCTCCAGGCCCCGTCAACTCAATACTCACCTTGTATCCGCCTCTCACACATTGCAACCGCCCCTCACACAAGACCGACAAGACCACGACATATGCTAGCTACCTTCCGTTCACAACCTCCTCTCTCACAGTAAATTTTCTAAGCGGCAGCAGCAGCAACAGCAGCACGCAGCCAGAAGCCAGCAGCAGCAGCAGCAGTCGCCTGGAGTAGTAGTAGGAGCAGGAGCAGGAGCAGGAGCAGCTGCAGCAGGAGGAGGAGGAGGGGGAGGAGGAGGAGGCGGGGGAGTAGTAGTAGTAGTAGTAGTAGTAGTAGTAGTAGTAGTAGTAGTAG